AGAATAGAAATAGAATAGAGAGTGCTAGTGTTAGAGTTAAGTTTTTATAATAAATAAAAGAAAACAAGATAGAATAGAAATAGAACACAGAGTGCTAATGTTAGAGAGTTAAGCTTTTATAATAAATTAAAGAAAAGTAGTTAGAATAGAAATAGAATAGAGAGTGCTAGTGTTAGAATTAAGTTTTATAATAAATAAAAGAATACAAGTAGATAGAATAGAAATAGAGAACACAGAGTGCAAGTGTTAGAGAGTTAAGTTTTTATAATAAAATAAAACAAGTAGATATAATATAAATAGAACACAGAGTGCTAGTGTTAGAGTTAAGTTTTATAATAAAAAAACAAGTAGATAGAATAGAAATAGAACACAGAGTGCAAGTGTTAGAGAGTTAAGTTTTTATAATAAATAAAAGAAAACAAGTAGATAGAATAGAAATAGAATACAGAGTGCTAGTGTTAGAGAGTTAAGTTTTTATAATAAAAAACAAGTAGATAAAATAGAAATAGAACAGAGTGCAAGTGTTAGAGTTACGTTTTTATAATAAATAAAAGAAAACAAGTAGATAGAATAGAAATAGAATACAGAGTGCTAGTGTTAGAGAGTTAAGTTTTTATAATAAATAAAAGAAAACAAGTAGATAGAATAGAAATAGAATACAGAGTGCTAGTGTTAGAGAGTTAAGTTTTTATAATAAATAAAAGAAAACAAGTAGACAATAGAAATAGAATAGTAAGTGTTAGTTTTAGAGAGTCTTTAACACTATTTTTATACAATATACCAGATTTCTGCCATTTTAATCTCATACGTTTTTTGGATTTCATAAAGACATTATTACAATATATACACAGTCATGCATCTATTGCGCTGTTTTCCAGTTCCTGTGTGTCACTCATGTGTGCAGATGCTGCTAATGCCTATTATAAACGTCCTCATCTGCTGTGAGCTGAAGCCAGGCAGGGTCTTTAATATTAATGATGTGCTAACGGGCTGGTAATTAACACAAAACAGGCCTGCAGAAAGACGAGCCGCTCAGAATGCAGGAGTGAGACGGACTCTTGACACGGAGACACGTGTGGATGCACAGGTGTTTGGAGACGCGTGTTATACAATGAGAAAGTGTGAGAATCTGCTGCCACAAATGAAGGAGAATATCAACCTCAATGACAAATGCTATTTGCAAAACAGATGTGTTTATTGTGAGCTTTGACCCCGAATGACTCCCTACATAAATGCTGTTCTTGCTGGATTGCTTTTAAGTCCTCTTTTTTAAAAACAGTTCTTTAAAAATGAGTTTTCAATGCCTGTCACTCACTCTTGTCTCCTCCTCCGGTGAGTATGGATCGGATGAAGCCTTCTTTTCTCCTCTTGTCCTCCGGGTTGGGCGGCAAGGGTTTGGAGCCGTGATTCAGCGGGCCTGAGTCTTTACCGGACGAGCCAATCATGGTGCTGGTGTTTCTCATGGGCGGAGCTGGCGGCTTGTCTTCTACTTCCCCATTGTCTGACATCTTCAGTTGTGGGCGTGGCTAAATCTGAAACACACAACCAATCCGAGCTAGTGAGTTGGTGAAAAGGGAGGGGCTAAAGTAAATCAACAAGGGTTGCTGGAATGAAACTGAAAGCATAATTAGATTGACCAAATTACCACCAATCTTCTTTTAATGGTATTTAGATTAAACTAGGACACAGCAGGAAAAAACAGCTAAGGCAGGAAGAAAACATCATCTGATGTAGTTTCAGACCAATATAGTTCTATGTATTATTTTTATATAAAGCATGTTATAGGTCAGTACGATTTTTTTTTAAAGAAAAGTATGCAATAAATTGATCAAAAATGACAGTAAAGACATATATAATGTTACAAAAGATTTCAATTTCATATAAATGCTGTTCTTTTGAGCTTTCTATTCATCCTGAATCCTGAAAAATAAAACGTATCACGGTTTCCACAAAAATATGAAGCAGCACAACTGTTTTCAGCATTGATAATAATCAGAAATGTTTCTCGAGCAGCAAATCAGCATATTAGAATGATATCTGAAGATCATGTGACACTGAAGACTGGAGGAATGATGCTGAAAATACAGCTGCGCATCACAGAAATAAATTACATTTTAACATATATTCAAATAGAAATCAGTTATTTTAATTTGTAATACTATTTTACAATATTAATGACTTTACTGTATTTTTTTAAACAAACAAATGCAACCTTGGTAAGCAAAAGAGACTTCTTTCAAATACATAAAAAAATTAAAAATCATACCAACCTCAAGCTTTATTCAAATCACCAACCCTAATATGAGCAATAACAATATAATTATTCCCTTATTAAACACCACAAACTGAAGCATAACTGAATGTTCTTGAGTTTTCTTTTCAGAAAGGTGCAAACAGACCAAAAACAGCCCCGTCTTTGCATGATTCAGTGCAGCGGCTCTGACATCAGTCCTGACACCTCGACTCAATAAACCAGGATTATGTAATACTGGAAAGACTATTATTTTTGGGTTGTATCCAGTTAATATGAAATGCTTTTTGGATGCTGACATGTGTGACATGCTGTTCTCCATTTAAAACTACTTTAAACAAAGTTTTGCTCAAATCGTTGTATTAATGTTACACATACAGGTTAATGAGCTGACATTAATGACTACACAGAGACTACATGGAATATTTGTGCTTTTAAAAGTTAATTTGCCACATGGACCATTTTAAATTGACCAAAAAATTTAGTTAAAATGAACTAGAAAGCTAATTTAAAGGGGATTAAACAGAGACCAGTTACAAAGCCTAAGATAAACTAATAAAAACACATATTATTATTATTATTATATATATATATATACTGTATATATATTATTTCACCTTTACTCTACTACAGGGAATATTTGTGCTTTTAAAAATGTATTTGGCACAATGACAATTTTAAATGAACAAGAAAGGTAATTAAAAAGTGAAAAAACAGAGACCAGTTTCAATAAGATACACTTTTCCTTAAACATTCATATAAATAATAATAATAAATACACATTATTATTATTATTGTTTTTTTCCTTTTCTGCATTTCATTTCACCACTAATTTCACATCTATTCTTTTATTTATTTATATATATATATATTTTTTTTTTTTACTAAACCTGGCATTGTATCTGATGACAATTTTTGACTCTATGACAAATTGCTCTGGATAAAAGCCTCCGCTAAATGAATAAACGTAAATGTGAGTTCTACCCTAAAATCTTTATGCCATTAACAAAAAAAGATTCACGGACAAATTATGTGAATCTTTGCACACAATCCAAACAAGACTCGGACATAACAGCATCACGACAAATACAAGCACTGACCAGCCTAGACACTGACAAAACTAACACAATCCTTATCTTTACATACAAAACTGTCAGCTCTAGAAGAAGTAATTGTATGATATCGGTCAATCAGTGCCAACAGAGAGCAGCATAATGCACTTTAATGACAGCAATTGAGATGCACGCAAGCCTACGGAATGAAATTAACATCTATTTTACACAACATTTACTCAAAATGGCCAAATCTTAGTCCATCACTAACCTCGAGTGAACATCTCGACGCAGATCATTCACACGGACATATGAATATAAAATGCACATCTGCTGATAGTCTGTAATAAAACTTCACCTCACCAAACACCGTCCGGCATACTGACACTCAATCCCAGCAGTATTCCCGTAAGAACAGCCCCTTTAGATCCCGTCGGACTCGGAGCGAGTGTGTGTGTGTGTGTGCTGGTTTTAAGAGGTTGTGGCCTCCCTGATGTGATGACACAGGTGAACAGGAAAGACTATGAGTTTGATCTGTGACTGACTGGACATGAATGGTGTAACATGATAGCCGAGTCTGAGAAAAACACACACACACAGATAATACAAAAAGGAAAGAGTATTACCTGTAAACACACTTCAGCCATGAGCAAACAGACATCAGAAAGGCAGCAGGGCAAACAACCATACAACATGAGTGTGTTAAAGACACAGTAACACATGCACACACAGCTGGTGAACGACTGTTTGAGATCGACAGGGTCTGTTGTGTGAAACCCTTCTCTATCATGGTGGGGACTTTCCTTTGACCTAGGCCTAACCCTAAATTTAAACCTCACACAAACCTTTTTGCAGTTTTATATTCTCCCAAAAATCATTATTTATATGTTTATTAAGTATTTTTTTCTCTCTGTCGGCTGCTCCCTCAATGCAGCTGATTTCAGGTTGAATTATCCTTTCGGAGACTTTTAGTCCTCACAATAGGCAAAACCTGTTTTTTGAACACATACCTTAAAACACAACTAAAGAAAATTACAAAAGAAAAAAAGTACAAAATAGTAGTGAAATAGTTTAAAATAAGAAACAAAGCCACAGTGATTTAAAGCAATTATGAGGAACAACGTTGCCATTGTGAGCCACACTGCCAGATATAAAGTCACAATTACTTTATTTAAAATCACCAAACACAAGTACACAAGTGTTTTAGAGACAAAGACCAGTAAAACAGCAAGAATGAGGAAGTGAGGAAGTCTCTGGGACTTTGGTCTGGTCTCTGGTAATTAAACCGATCTCAGCGCTATTACACACACACACACACACACACATCTAACAAACCTCAGGTGCTTTTCATTCAAGCAAACAAAGGGCTTCATCCACAGCTGAGCCTGCGTGTTCCCCTTCATTGTCTCAAAGAGCAAATGCAAAAACCAGAACCAAGTTCTGAGACCAGAAAACCACCAAACACACACCAGTAGAGGAAGTGTTGTAGTTCTAGCGTGTACCTGTGACTCAGCGCTCTGTTTGTCAAGTCATCCACACTTAACTGACATGATAAACACCTGACGGCTGTCCTGTGTGACGTACCGGCGAGACATCAGTCATCATCACTGATCCTGACAGGGTTTCACTGCTTCATCCTCAGCTGCTTTATTCAGATGGTTTTCCTTTAAACGCTCAACATCAACACAATTAGTCTTGATTCTCATGTCTACAGGCCAACTGGAGCTTCAGTGAGCAGTTCCGATTCCAAAAAAAGATATAATTAACTCAAACTCACATTAATTTCAATTGCAATAATGACTGGAAACAGGCTAAATGATGCTGATGCACAAAACCCACCTGCCTAGCCTTTTCAAAACATCTTTTTCACTCTAAATCGAATGGAAAAGATCATTCTGACTTTTCATAATTTAGATTTTTTTTTTTTAAACAAAGACAGAATTGCAAGATATAAAATAAAAAAAATATATAAAAAGATGTCGCAATAACAATTATGCAATTAAAAAAGTTGAACTGCAAGATGTAAACTCAGAATTCTGACTTTTTCCTTGCAATTCTGAGTTTATATCTCACAATTCTGAGTTTATATTCTCAAAATTGCAAAAAATTGCAAAAAATATCTGAATTGTGAGATAAACGCAGAAACAGACAAACAAAAAGTACAGATATATGATTCTCTTCATTCCATAAAACAAATGGCAGGTAAAATTAAACACCAAATTATTATTTAAAATAGATTTCATTAATTGAAATAAATCTACACTGTAAAAAATGATTGTGATTTTAACAGAAAAAGACTGTAAAATGCTACAGTAAAAACTTGTTAACAGTACGTTTCCATACTATATTCGTTGAATAAATGTAATTACATTTAATGTAATTTTACAGTAAAATACTGTTAAAAAATATGGTTTTTGGAAGTGAAAAAGAAAAAGTCCTTGTATAATTTACAGTCACAAACTGTAAATTGACACTGCCAGAATTCCCTGCATGACACTTCATATTTGATGTTTTTTTTCTTCTTCTTAGTTTTTTTTATCAGTTGTGTACATTAGGGTTTAATCTTACATCTACTGTTGTTAAATTAATGTTTATTGCATCATTTCAGTATCATGCGTGTTACCGTGATGGTGTTTAGTGTTTGTGTGAATGACACTGTGCACCTTCTATATATAAGTATTGCCCTCCTCAGCTCGTAGAAAAGCTGTTTGTGATGAGCTTTGGTTCATCATGTGACTTTCTCATCACCACCTGTTTTTGGTGGTTATCAGTGCATTACAATAGTTCAAAACAGATATTAGTACTTCCATATGCTGGTTTATTAACATTACATCAGTTAATGAAATACGGTATTCGGTCTGTAAAAACTAAAATGTTGCTACCATATTTTTTATGAAGTTCTGGCAACCACAGCTGCTGGTATTTTACCATAAATGTCACAGATTTATTTTTACAGTGTAAAATAAAATATTGGATTAAAAACATACAAAAATTAAAGCTAAACAGAAATATTTAAAAAAACCAACAAAATGACAGAAGGACATAAAATGACAATTCTAAACTGAATTCAAATGAAACAAAAATGTAAAAATAAAAGGGAACTCATAATATGAATCAATTCTACAGTACTACATAAATAACACTAAAAGAGCATGCTGAAAGAGCTGAGGTGGTGTTTTCTGAGCTCACGTGAGATCACGCAGAACAGAGCATCATTCATCAGGATAAG